TAAACAGAGAGTTCTCAAAGGAAGAAATAAAGATGGCTAAGAAACATCTCAAAAAGTATTCAACATCATTAGTAATTAGTGAAATGCAAATTAAAACAACCCTAAGTTATCACCTTACCCCAATCAGACTGGCTAGGATCAAGAGAACAAATGATACCAAATGCTGGCAAGGATGTGGAAAAAGGGGAATGCTCATTCACTGCTGGTGGGATTGCAAACTCCTGCAACCTCTATGGAAAACAGTGTGGAGAACTCTTAAAAATCTAAATATGAACCTACCATATGACCTGGTTATACCACTCTTTGGCATATAATCGAAGGACTCATCCTATTGTAGAGACACTCATACAACCATGTTTGTTGCTGCTTTTTTCATAATAGCTAAGAGATGGAAGTAACATAAGTGCCCCTCAACTGACAAGTGGTTAATGAAAATGTGGTATATTTACCCAATGGAGTTCTATTCAGCAATAAAAAAAAAAGATGAGATAATGAAATTTGCAGGTAAATGGATGGATCTAGAAATTGGTATGCTAAGTGAAGTAACAGTCTCAGAAAAACAAACGACATATGTTCTCCCTCATCTGTGGATCCTAGCACCAAATCCTTTTCAATTCCAGGTCCTTTTAATAAGATGATGCTATACAGCAGTCCCTTCTGCATGAAATGACTACCATCATCACACTTCAGCTGAGCCTGGTCGCTAAACATCGTCACAATTGGGCTTGTTGACAGTTGTGCTCCTTCGCTAAAGGAGGGCTAAGCAGAGGCATTGGACCCTCTCTGGATTATCCAGCCACTCTTCCCAGCCAACTATATGTAATTTGACCCTAATCACAGATGGCCTCCTGGATTTGGGGAGAGCTAAAGTATACAATCTGGGAAAAGCTAGGAAGAGAAGGCATGACCCATGCTGGGTAAAGGTTTTCCAGTGTGCATGCCCTCAGGTCATACATACACCTCAGCAACCCTTCAGTTATCTTGGTAAGTAAGCTCAATAAATTCATTGGTTCCGCAGTAAAACTTAAATCAAACATTGGCCTAACACCAGAACCTTAAAAGGGAATAAGCATTGCTTAGCATCTCCAGGAAAAGAAGTCTCACAACAGATGGAAAATTTATTTGTTAATGCTATTATGTCTCATAATTATTAAAAAAAAAAAAAGAAAATGATAATGTAAAAGATGTTAAAAGGATATGGTAATGAAGATATTTTCCAAAATAGAAAAAATGAGAAAGGCTAAGCAAGTGATGAAGGTCTATTTAGGTTTATTATGATATATAAAGGAAGAGACAAGAATAATATACACATAGTCTTAAAATTTCTCCAGTCATAGTTTAGTCAACTAGTTTAAAGAACAAAATATATATCTAATCAAGGTTTATCTGAGAATATTTGGCTTTTTTACCCAAGTCGTATCTACATAGCACATGATAATTAAAAGTACCAGACTGGTGGAACTAACTTTATTGGATGTTTAACAGCTATAGTTTGAGGCCTATACTAATGTGGTCAGAGGGACTTAAAGGACAGTTTTTGCCCCTTGCCCTCCAAGGTGGACTAAGTTCCAGGGGACTATGGACCATCTCTCAAAATGTCCTGTAACTGTGGTGAGTCACCTATCCTTTTCTTCAGGGAGGACATGGAGACCCCACAAGACGGACTTGAATGAGTGTCCAGTCTACAAAGAGGAGGGTCAACTCAGAGGAAGCATCTTATTCATGCTTCCAAGTGAAGCCAGCCATGGTTGAGCAGGATCTTTGACTTATCTTCACATAGGTGGAACTGGTAAAAGAAAGGAGCCAGGAGCAGCATATTCTTATTTTTCAAAAGAAACAGGTTAAACTATTTAGGGGGTGTACTGAGTTGATGTTTGCAACTTACATTCAAAGGTCTAGAAAAACACACAGCCGAAGCAAATGTTATAAAATGTTAATTGTTCTTAAGAGTTCAAGGGATTACACTTCCCAGAAATTAGACTTAATTCTGTATAAAAAGTTATTTAGACAATTATTTCTCATTGATGGTTTTGTTCCTAACTAGAAAGTGCTGCTCACATGTAAGACTTCAAATCCTGGTCTCCAATACTGTAGTTCCCACCTGTAGCTAAGGGAGACAACCAGCTATTGTTCCAAAATGATGGATAAATTTTTCTCCCCCTATCTAGTAGCCTTTGAGAGGGAACTGACACTGATTCTAACTACTCCAACAGCTATCAAAATACATGAAAGCAAATCCTGAATCTATCACTCTAGAGTCCAGACTTGGAAGACGAAAGAAAAATGAGGAAGAACTCAATAGAGGGATGCTTTTGGAAGCCCTTGTCAAGAAATTCCAATGGACTCTCATATGAACATTTGAAAATTGCCCTGTTCTGACTTTTTTCTAGTTCCCTATCTATAACTTGTAATGCTAACTACTCTTGCCTTTACTTCTCCTTTACATCACCTATTCAGGATTCAAGGACTTTCTTTTTCCCTTAGAGCTAAGGGGATCTCTATGCAATTTGGGAGTCTTTTAGACAGAGCCACTGAAGGGGTACTCTAATTGCCTCACCCTGCATCCCTCCCTGTTCAGCACGGAAGAAGCCACAGCGGTCTACGTCCTGATTCCCTATTGTCAATTTGGGTAACCCCTTCAGAGGATGAGTTAGGAATTGGCTAAGCAGTTAGGGTAAAAAGACCCCCAAAGAAAAGTAGCCATTTTCTTGGCTAAAAGTCAAAATGTCCTTGGGCCTCTTAGCAAAATACTCTGTTCCAAAGGCCAAAAATATTGAAAGTATTTGGACGCTTGTATCTAATTCTTAAAAGATTTTAAAGGGGGGGGGGATGTTAGAGTAGCCAAAAGCCCCATAAAAATAAATCAATCAATCAAAGAAGAAGAAAAAGTACATGAAATTATCAGGAAAAAAAAATGATGGGGAGATATGGGAGGAGTTGGAGGGGAGGGAGTAGGCATGGATCTGATCAAAACACCTTATATACGTGTATGAAATTCTCAATAAATCATTTATCTAAAAAAAAAAAAAGTCCTTCCTAAAAAATTTGTGTGGTGTGTTTGGGGGGAGGGAGTACATGTATGCACATGTGTGTACAGGTTCTTGCAATGTCCAGAAGAGAACATCTGATCCCCTAGAGATACAGTGACACAACTGTGAGCTGCCCAACATGGGTGCTTGGAACCAAACTTGTGTCCTCTGTAAGACTAGTACATAGACTTAACCACCAAGATACCTCTTTAGCCCCAATAAAGATAGTCTTTTTTTAAAATGTGTTAGAGCTGGGTGTAGTGGCACAGACCATTAATCCCAGCACTCACAAGGCAGAGGCAGGTGGATCTCTGTGGGTTCAAGGGCAGCCTGGTCTACATAGTGATTTCCAGGACAGCTGGGGCTACAGGGAGACTCTGTCTCAAAAAGCCAAAAAAAAAAAAAAAAACTTTAAAAAAATGTGTTAGAATAACTGGACATCCACATGTAAAAAAGCTAACCTAGATATAGACTTTACACCCTTCAAAACTTGACATAAAGTAGACCATAAGCAAGCCCAACTGTAAAACAAAACCATAAAACTCCTACAAGTTACATAGGAAAAAAATCTGATAACCTTGGGTTTAGAAATTACTTTTGGGTATAACATCAAAGTCACAATCTATAAAGGAAATTTTGATGAGATCGAGATCATTAAAATTAAATTTTTCTGCTTTGCAAAAGGTATTGTTAAAAACGGAGGTAAGTCACCAAGTGGGAGCAATACCCGCAAAATTCATATCTGATAAAGGACTGATATCCACAACACGTATGAAGAACTAATATCAGATTTCCACTGCTAGAACAAATATCTGACATAATTAACTCACAGAACAAAGGATTATTTTGGCTCACAGTGTGAGAGTTTCACCACATGGTAGATTGACTGCATTATATTTAAGCCTGTGGTAATGCAACATGTCATGATGGATGTGTGTGGTAGAGCAAAGTTTCTTTTAGCTCATAGCAGCCAAAAAGGGAAAGTAAACACAAAGGAATCAGGGTCCCAATAAAAAATATAAGGCCCCAGTGACCTGACTTCTTTCTGCTAGTCTAACCTTCTAAAAGTTCTATAAACTCCCAGAAGCAGTATAAGGCTAGGCACCAAGCCATTCAAGATCCAAACCATAGAAACACTTAATACTTAATAATAAAAAGACAAGCAATTGTGTAAAAACTGGCCAAACACTTTGGTAAATACCTCACCAAAGAAGATATGCCAAGTGCCAATAAACATGAAGTTGTTCAATCTTATCTATTGTAGCCGGAAAATGCTTTATTCCTCCTGGATTTCTAAAGAGCCCTGGGCTAGAGCAGGGCACCCTGGGAAGAAGGGTGGAGCCTAGCATGGGGAGAGATTGGAAGGAAAGGATTGGAGCCACTCTGGGAAGCAGGGAACAGGGAGCAGGCGAGTCAGCCTGCCCTGGATGGACCCTCTGGGGCTCAGGGCAGCTTGTGAGGACCCGGTGGACCCCTCACGGAACTCTATGAGGTGAGTGGGCAGCCAGGACTGAGATGAGGCAGACTATGGGCAAAAGCGATCCAAACGGCAGGCCAAGCCCTGCAGAGCTGGGAGCTGGGTGTCAGGTGTTGCTTTCTTTGTAAGTCCCTCCCTCCGCCCCCCAAAGGTAGGTATAAATGATGTAAAATTCAGATAAAGATGTGTTATGTGGTTTGTCTACCCGAATCAGGAGCAAGGGACCCTAAGAGAACTTGGGCGACATCTATCATCAGACAGGTGCAAATTAAATTGAGGTATCATTCCATGCCTCTCTGATTGGCCAAACAGTGATAGCAGCAAATATTTGTGACAATGTAGAATCAAAGTAACTTTCATTCATTGCTAATGGGAATCTGAAATGGTATAAAAACTTTGGAAGAGTTTTGTTATTTCTTAGGAAACTAAACATACCCTTACTGTATGATCCAGCAGCTATGGTATTTAGAATTTGTCCAGAGGAATAAACAACTTATAGACACACAGATACTTACAGAAGCTTAATTCATTCATAATTGCACAAACTTAGGAACAACCAAAATGTCTTTCACTAAATGAAAAGATAAACTGAGATACAGAGAAAGAAAGGAATATTATTCAGTGTTAATGAGAAAGGCACTATCAAACCATGAAAGAAGTTCTAATGTACATTACTAAGTAAAAGTCTGTCTGAAAGGGTGCATACAGTATGACTCCAAGTCTGTGACATTTCGGCAAAACTATAAAGATGGTGAAAGATCAAGTTGCCAGAGTGTATGGGTAAGCAGGGAACCAGCAGGTGGATCACAGAGAGCTCTAAGGACAGGAAACTAGTCTTCATGATACAATGGCAGATGTGAGCCTCTATACATTTGCCCAGATACATACATTGTACAATACTGGACACCAAGTACACTTTAAATACAGCTTATTGTCATTGTGGGTTCATCACATATCTAACGTGGGGGATGTTGGTACTGGGGGAAAAGCTCGTGGGTCGAGTGGATTTTTGGGATATCTTTGCCTCTTCCTTTCAATTTTGTTACAAACCTAAATGCTTTTAGAAATTATCTTTAAGAAGTGGCTATATTCTGCTGGATTTGGGTGGAACGGTTGCTAATGTCAATCAGTTTTTCTATATCTTCACTGCTTTTCACTTCTCTTACTGTGTCATTTGCTGAGAGGAAAAAAATCATATTCATTGTCCCACCCCAAGTATTTTTAAAGAATGTACAAATAAAGAACTTTCCTGATCATTTTTATTTTAAAAATTTCAGGCAAATGTGGTAAAGGGATTTGTAGGAAGGGGGTGGTTGAGGGGTGGGCGGAAGATAAGAGAAGGTAGGTAAAAGAATTCAGAATACTTTATATACATGAATGAGATTGTCAAAGAACAAATTTAATAACAAACATTCTAAAACAAAAACATTAAGAACTAAAATTTAACTATTCTCTCACTCAAAAGAAAAATGCAATCTCATTTTATTATGTACAGTAAAACAGATTAAGGAATAAATGATTTTAATAACACAGATGGATTTTTTTTTCTGCCTACTCAAAACTTCCTTACATGACACTTTGGTTTCCTTGCTTTAAATTTGACTTCCTAAAAAAACAAATTATGGGTAATCCTACTCCAAATTTCAGTGTAACTTAATGGTTCTATTTATTTCTGTGCAATAGCTTATCTTCAAAACAGAACAAAGATTATAATTTTAAAGTAATTTTGTAGGTTGGCATTTCTTCATATAAACATTCAATTTACTGTTTTTCTATATGCATAGTCCCTCAACACCCAAGAAATCCAATTATCAGCATGTTTTAAGTTACTATTTCTTCAGATTTCTACAGGATAACCATGACTATTTCAAAGTAAAGAAAGTGGAAAATGCCCAAAAAATGTTGAAAGGAAGACAGAAAGGTGGTTTTAGCCTGGAAGATTCATTTTTTACTTTAAAATATGTAGCTTTTATATATGTCTTTAATCCCAGCACTTGGGAGGCAGAGGCAGGCTGATCTCTTTGAGTTCAAGGACAGCCTGGTCTACATAGTGATTTCCAGGCCAGCTGGGGCTACAGGAAGAGCCTGTCTCAAAAAGACCAAAAAAAATTTAGTAAAAAGACTGCTAACAGAAAAATGTTAGATGCTTTCTTTGAAAAGAATTGTCAAGCAAATTAAACTCAAAATGTAGACAATTGATCTTTCTGTAACTCAAAAGACACATAATACCCCACTGATTTGACTTACCACTTTCCCCAAAGCAAGTACAAAATCTTCACCATGTTATGTTCTCCACAATTTGTAAAACTTGGTGAAGGAGAGACAGTATTTTCACTCTCCTGGCTTCTTGAGTGCTTAGCCCTCTATCTCTACACTTGTTCTCTCTTGTGCTCCATTCAAAACCTGAAATGTCTTCTTTGGTTTCTGCAAAACAAACAAATATAGTAAGAACTCAAAGATATAGGTTTTGTTGAAAGATTTCAAGAATGGGGAAAAAAAAGATATATGTTCCAGTCACAGAATCAATTTGAATTTAATCATAGGTGTCGGGAGTTGGAGAGATGGCTCAGCAGCTACAAGCACTAGCTGCTCTTGCAGAGGTCTCAGATTTAGTTCTCTGGTTCCACATGTTAGCTAACAACCACCCATAACTCCAGTTTCAGGGGATTTGATGCCTCTTCTGGCCTCTGCAGGCACTGGATGCACATGGTGCACTTACATATATTCAGGCAAAACATTCATACGCATAAAGTTTTTTTTTTTTTAATTACAGGTCTCATTCACCTTTAAATTTCCTTTGGTTATATCACAAGAGACAGCTCTTGGCCTTTCATTTGATGTAGCACAACTCTCTTCTTTTTTTGGCCCTTCCTTCTCCTTCACTGAAGAAGTAATAGGCCTTCGTATTCTCTCTTAAAAAATAGCTGTTGTCCGCTTTTCCCCCTCAACCTGAGTGCCAACTAATAAACAAAATTCTGGCATCTACCTTCCTACCCAAAGAACCCTTAAAGTAATACTTTCCATTCTCTTTTTAAAGAAGATCATGACGATAGCAGTTACTTATAACTATTTTATTTTATTCCGAGTATCCTATTACAGAGGAAGCAAGAAAATATTATTCAGTATCTTTAATCACCTGCTATACCTGAAAGATTCTACACAGATCATTGACCTTGTACAAAGGCAACTTGATCTAGCACACTGACAAAAATACTAGCAATCTCTTCCTAGAATTTTATATGATAATCAAAATAATACAATTGAAAACTTCGAATATCATTAAATCTCTAAAATCAAATATTGTTAAATATGTTCAGGATATAAGTATTTTTATGAAATGATTCTATTTACCATAAACTTTACTTTGCACCATGATTGATTTGAAGCCTCTTTGTTTTAGAGACCAACTTAGTAAAATGTTGTCATTTATATGCACAAAATGTACTAATTTTTACAAACTTATTTGATTTTTTGTGGTGTGTGTGTGTGTGTGTGTGTGTGTGTGTGTGTGCAGTGGTGGGTGCTGTGATGTGGTAAGTGCGCCTGTGATTACAGAGAACAACTCTATGCAGTTTGTTCTCTCCTGCCACTATTTATGTGGGTTTTGGGGTCAAACTCAGGTTTACAGGTTTGAAGGGCAAGCATCTTTACCTGCAGAGCCATCTCACTGGCCCCTTTGGTGCTAGGGATTAAACCCAGGGCTTCTGCATTCTTTACAAGTACTCTCCTACTAACCTACATCTACCATTCTGAAATATGTATTTTTTAAATTATGTTCAGTGGCCATATCCACTGAAAACATTCCATTTTACAGAACATAACACGATAAAGTGATTTTATGATTTTCCTTTACCTTGTAAATAGTATCCATTGAAAAGATCAACTTTTTTTTTAATTTTATGTGTATGTATGTACTGCTTGCATGTAGGTAAGTGCACCTGTGTCATGCAATACCCACAGAGGACAGAAGAGACTGTCAGATCCCCCAGAACTGGAGTTACAGACAGTTGTTAGCTGCCATGTGGATGCTGGGATTTGAAGCCAGGTGTTCTGCAAGAACAGTCAGTGTTCTTAACCACTGGGCTATCTCTCCAGCTCCCGAAAGGACAAAATTTTGCAAAGATTAGTTAAACTGAAACATTTATATAGTTTTACTATGTGATATGCATATTTGTTTCATTTCTGCTTTAACTATTAAAAAACCCACTGAAAATTAAGTTTAATTCCACTCTTGACAAGCATTTGTTAAATACACCCTCTACTATGTAATGAGAAGACATAAAGATTTTAGTTGAGAAGGGAAATTTTTACAAAGAAATAGAATAATCTTTAATTTTAAATTTAGGTCATAAAGAAGTCACAAAAATAAATCAAGATTCCACAAGAGTATTATTATATATTTACTACACAATACACTACTCCAGATTCGGTAGATGACAGTCAGTAAAAGTGAGGACCTGAGTTCAGTCCCTAGCATACACATTGATAAATTGGGTTTGCATCTGTAATCCCAGAATTGGGAGGTAGGGACAGGTTTAGTGAGAGACTCTATCTCAAAACGTAATATGAAGAGCAATTAAGATATCCAACATCAACCTCTAGCTGAGAGAGAGAGAGAGAGAGAGGAGAAAATATAGAGAACTGAATATAATTGAATTACATGTATGAAATTTTCAAAGAATAAAATTCTTTTCATCTGTTTTTGAGATAAGGTCTCCCTGTAGCCCCAGCTGGCCTAGAACTCTCTATGTAGACCAGTTTGGCCTCTGTCTCACAGAGATCCACCTGCCTCTGCCTCCCAAGTGCTAGGATTAACGGTGTGGGCCACCATGCCCAGTTAGTTTAATTCTTTTTAAGGTTGGAATAAAAGAAGTTGTGTTTGCTCTGCCAGCTGTCAAAGGAATCAGTACTACTTTGCAAATTGCTGCCAAAAAAAAAAAAAAAAAAAACCTGCCATACTTTGTAAATTTATTTTTATTCAATGAATCCCAACATTGTGGAAAGACAAAAAAAAAAAATCTTTTTCTGAGATGGATTTAACATGAAGTCATCCTTCCTCCACAGCCTAAGTGTGCTTCCCCCAACTGGCTGGCCTGTTTCATGTCCTGGGCCCCCATCATTTTGAGGCTGGTAGCAGACTGTTAAAGCAGACTCTTGAAGGATATTCTAATTGCGGTGTCCAAAGAGTCTGATTATGTAGTGAAACTTCAGGCTTTGTTCCAAGTAGCTGTTTGTAAATTTTCTGTCTCACCAAAGCTGGGATCCACCTGTCCTTAGGTTTCTGTTCTTTCCCTCCCTCTCCCTGTCCATCTCCTTCTCCCCGATCCATCTTCCTTCCTCCCTCCGCTGCCTGCAGCGCTTCACTGGAGCTAGATCACACAGCTCACTAGAGCAGACTGCCCTCACTTTTCTTCCCAATTCCACATAGATTCAATGAGGTCAAGATGGTAATTTCTGTGTGTCATAATAGCCATGTTTACACCACAGAATCAAATGGGACAAGGTGAGACTTGGTGGGGGTGTTGCTTCTTTTTTTCCTGAATCTATTCCAGGACAATGGTGGGGCCACCGCAAACAGTGAAACATCTCTTCTTCCCGAAAATTGGAGAAGTACAGGCAAATCCCAACATCGCCTCTTTTACTGGCTCTATCACCAGCAAAGTAGCTAGCACGTGGGGAAAAGGATTGCATAGCTTCCTGAGGGCCCTGCCACCTCCTCATGGTTCGGACTGATGAAAAAGGGCAGGTGTCCACTCTCCACAGGGGTGCAGCTCACAACTTGGGCAAAGAGAATTTGGCAACTGGTAAATTCTCAATTGGGGATCTGTCTTTTGTCTTAGAGTCTTCTTAAGAACACAATTTTAAATCCTGTTCTGAGAAGTAATCATAGCTAGTGAAAAAAAGGAAGCAATCCCAATATATATGCTCCCCGAAATAAAGTCAAGAGAGAGCTATATCAGTCACACATTTGCTAATTACAGTTGATGTTGGATTGCTAGAATTTTGATCAAGGGAGGCAGTTTCATGCGTTAAACACTTAATTTTAGAGGAAAACTGTGATCTACCTAAACTTTTGTGGATCCATCACTTTTATGGCTGTCTATGTGGACTTCGACATGTGTTAGTCTAAGCCATGCTTCTCATACTAATATAAAAACGAATTTCCTGTAGTAGAGGTAATATTAAAATATAGCCTCTGATTAATAATCTGTGTGGAGAGGAGATTATTCCTCAAAAGGTAAGAGGTGACATTCATAATACAACTCTGAACAAAGCACTGGAGGAGCAGAGCACTAAGAAACACAGACACACATGATGCACATTTGAGTATATACCTATGCACATATGTACACATGCAGGGAGATGTATGATTAATTAAAATGATTCAAACAACACTATGAGGTGGTAATTATTTCTTTTTTCTTTTTTTTTTTTTTTTTTTTTTTTTTTTTTTGGGAAGGGCCTCCCTTTTTCCCCTGTTTTGTCTTTTTGAGACAGGGTCTCCCTGTAGTCCCAGCTGATCTTAACTCACTGTGTAGACCAGGCTGGCCTTGAACTCACAGAGATCCGCCTGCCTCTGCCTCCCAAGTGCTGGGATTAAAGGTGTGCTCCATTGCACCCAGCTTCAATTATTTCTATTTTTATCAACAAAAAAATGGAAGCTGAAGGAAATTACCTTGACATATCACACAAATAAATAGTAGAGGGGATTCAAACCACCTTTTGCCTTCTCCCCTGACTCTTTCCTTTGGATGGCACAGATCCTTGAGGCTGATGTTTTCAAATTATAAACTTTAATGCAGTAAGAGAAGTAGTAACTGTACAATTTTTTCCTATGTAATTTTTTTCCAATTTTAAATAATTGTTCACATCTTCTGTTTCGTCTCCCAGAGCTACCATGTCCAAGGTCATTTACCAGAACAGACAGATTGCTCATGAACTTTCTTGTAGATGCCTAATCCAAGTTTAAATTATACAAATATCCACTTAAAAGGCAGCTATTTTGTCCTCTGTACTGTCTGATCCTGATGGGGTTCTCCTGGTGATTCCAGCTGTGTTATCTTGTCAACAGACTTTCAAAGCCTACCCCCTGCTTGCCTCAAACAGGGTAGGAGGGATATAATTAATGTGTGATTCCCCTCATAAGGTGGCATGAACAACCTCAGTCTGCGAAGCTCAATTTAAAAAGATATCAATCTCTAAGTCCCTGGTAGTTCACAAAATAATGATCTAGAATTCATTTATATAAAATGCTAAATTGCTGGTTAAATGATCCTTTCAATATCAATGTTTATACACTCTGTTGTCATTGCTATATAGATTCAATCTCCTGGTCCTTCCCTTTAAGATGATTTAAAACTAAATGAAGGAAGGAAAACAAAAGGATATGAGTCACATGCTAACAAAAATAATGAAACAGCAAGCCGGCCTCAGATAATTTCCTGAAATCAGTATGAGAAGGAATAAGACACGTGAAAGTAAACCGTGAACAAGTCAGTTTGCAAAACAGTCAAATTTCTAAACTAAACATCCATTTAGGATAACAAATAAATGAAGGATAAGGAAAATTCAACTCTATTTTTTAATTACTTTTTAGATTTGCAATATAATTGAGAAATATTAAAAGCAAAAACAAAGACAAATTCCCATTGTAAAACATATAGTATTATAATCTGTATACAAGAGATTTAGTAAAGTTACGTATTCTAGGGTCCATGAGCTTGCACTTTGAAAATACCTCCTTGGGAAAATGGAGTTGAATAATTAAGAATACTTTCATGTTGAATACCACATGAAGACCCAAAGCAAATTCACAAACACATGATATTTTATCTCTAGCTATTAACAGTCATTTTGATGAAATAAGCCCTAGTCTTGACTTCAAATCGTTTTAAAAGCTGGGCTAAAAAGGTGTTTCTAAAACATACATCTATTGGCAACTGGAGAGAAGGCTCAGTGGTTAAGAGCGTTGACTGCTCTTGCAGAAGACCCAAACCCACATTCCAGGACCAATATGGTGACTAACTACCATACGTAACTCCAGTTACAGTGGATTTAACATCCTCTTCTGACCTCCACAGGCA